CGACCACGCCCCCGATCCGCCCCCTATGGGCCCTGGGGGGCAGCGAATAGCCACAGCGCAGGGCGCTCCGACCACGCCCCCGATCCGCCCCCAGCGAATAGCCCATGGGCCCTGGGGGGCAGCGAATAGCCACAGCGCAGGGCGCTCCGACCACGCCCCCGATCCGCCCCCTATGGGCCCTGGGGGGCAGTGAATAGCCACAGCGCAGTGCACCCTGGCCATGCCCGATTGGGTGGGGTCTTGGGGGGCTGTTTCCTGTTCCTCAGTGGCCTCTATTCTCCCTCCTCTTGGGACCTTTCCTGCCCTCTCTGTCCACCCCCGAGGAGGCCGTGGGGGGAGTCCATGGCCCCGGAAAGATGCCCAGGCCTCTTGGCTTCAGCTTGCGATTTGAGCTCAGCTGCTGCCCTTAGTCTGGCAGCGGGACAGGCAGAGAGCCAGCCCCCCGCCCCGCAGCGTCCTTGTAGGGCCGGGACAGAGGGCGACGGGCAGAGGGGGGCAGGAGAGAAGGAGACGGGTGACGAGAGGAGAGGAGAGCGCGGCCCAGGCCCAGGACGATGCAGGCCCTTCTGGTAACGAACGCCCCCCACCTCTGCAGTGCAAACACCCCCTCAGAGCCGCCCCTCTGATCCAAACACCCCGCCAGCCCCAGCCCCCTCATCAGGGTGCAAGTCCCCAGTCAGACCCCTCCGGATCCACCCCCAATCTAAACACCCCCATGGGTCCAGCCCCCCTCCGGATCCACCCCCCATCTAAACACCCCTGTGGATCCAGCCCCCCTCAAGATCCACCCCCAATCTAAACACCCCTGTGGGTCCAGCCCCCCTCTGGATCCACCTCCAATCTAAACACCCCTGTGGATCCAGCCCCCCTCCGGATCCACCCCCAATCTAAACACCCCCTTGGATCCAGCCCCCCAAGATCTAAGCCCCCAATCCAAACACCCCCCCTCAGATCCACACCCCCCCCAGCTCCATACACCCCCTCAGCTCTAACCCCTCCCTGGATCCACACACCCCCTCACAACCCCAAACACCCCCAGCTCCAAGCAGCTCCAACCCCCCCCAGATCTGAACACTTCCAAGATTCAACCCCCCTGCCCCCTTCAGGTGCAGCCCATGTGTGTGAATCGCTCCCCTGCGCTTTGCCTGGGTCTCTAACCTTTGTTCCCTGCTGGGCACCGGCTTTTCGCCTTTGGGTGGGGCTGGTTTTTTAAACCCGTCAGTCTGGTGTCTTTCAATAGCGAGGCCCTGACCCTCCTCTGCTGTGCTGCAGTTTCAGCCCCGTGTAAACACCGGGAGCAACTCCTGATTTAAACCCTGGGTAAGCAAGAGCCCGACCAGACCCTGCGAGACTTATTATGTATTATGTGTATTACGGTAGCGCCTCAGACAGGGGCCACGACCCCATTGTGTTAGGCGCTGTATATTTTTATGGCTCTTCGGTGTATTACGGTAGTGCCGAGGCGCCCCCCCTCACGGACCAGGCCCCCGCTGCGAACTCACACAGCGCCTGGCCCAAGGCCCTCACCATCTGCGGACACGACAAAGACAACAGGTGCAGGCCGACAGGGGAAGCACCAGGGAACGTTCCCAATTAAAGGCCCAGACTCCAGCCTTGGGCCGTTTAGCGCTTTCACCCGTTCTGGTTTTCGGAGCCATCCCATAATGACTCTGGGAAACCCCCCCAAACAGGGGTCCTCTTCTTCCCCCTCCCCCCTCGGCATATACACGCACGCAGCCACGGAGTCCCACAAACTGGAAACGATTCTGGTGCCACTGCGCTGGTTCGTTACGTGCCTGGGAAGGGTCAGGTACAAAAAAACCCCGAAACTGCAGAGCGATGTCAAAAAAAAGGGGGGGGGGGTGGGAAATATGCCCAGGAATGGATCTGCCTGGCACCTCGCTCCTGTGCCAACGTGTGCTTCGGAATGTAGATTCGGTAGACAGGTGGGTTGGTACGGTGGGTAGACGGGTGGATGGGCGCTAGGTAGAACGGCTGGCGTCTAAGCAGCTAGACAGAGGGCGGCACGGCAGAGGAAGGGTAGCCTGAGCTGTGACTCGCTGTGTGACCTGGGGCGAGTCACTGCAGCTCCCTGGGCCTCTGTCTCCCCATCTGTAAAATGGGATAATCGGCCTTCCTTCGGCTGGTTAGACTGGGAACCCTTCAAGGCAGGAACTGACTCTGACTCTGCGCAGCGCCCGGCACGACGGGGGCCTGATCTCGGTCAGGGTCTGCGCAGCGCCCGGCGCGACGGGGCCCTGATCACGGTCGGGGTCTGCGCAGCGCCCGGCGCGACGGGGCCCTGATCACGGTCGGGGTCTGGGCAGCGCCTGGCCCGACGGGGCCCTGATCTCGGTCAGGGTCTGGGCAGCGCCAGGTCCGATGGGGCCTGATCTCGGTCGGGGTCTGCGCAGCGCCCGGCGCGACGGGGCCCTGATCTCAGCAAGGCATCTAGGTTGCTAGATGTACAAATAAGAAGAAGAATACTGCATGGCAGGGCGGGGGTAGATCAGTAGAAATCAATGTTTCCTACCTAGAAGGATATGATGCTTTGGAGCCAGGGAGCAGAGAGTTTGGAAGGGGGAGGCGTGAGTGGGGCAGTAGGCTTGGGTGTTAAAATTCCATGGTGGCCGTTAATCCTCCAAGGTCCTGGGTGGGCTGCAGGGATGTTTTCTAGGTGGATTAGATCTCCTGCTTCGGGGGGCTAAGCAGAAGGAGAGTATAGATAAGGGGGAGTAAAGAGGGGTAGACCCCAGAGGTGGGGTGGAGAGAGAGGAAAGGGCACAGAGGCCTCTGCGGCTGCAGTTTCACTTTTCCAAGGTGACTTTAGATCTATTGGTGTCAGAAGTGGGATTCCCAGTCCCGCTCCCAGCAATGGCCTTGGGCCTGGCTGGAGGCTGCCCTGGGAAATCGGGACCCCTCTGCCACTCTGAGAGTTTCTTAGCAGCCTCTGCAGCACCATGACATCTTGTAGCAAACTGAGGGGTTCTCACTCTGGCCCCATCTGATGCCCGGCAGCCCGGATCCTGCAGCGTGAGCCAGATCGTGACCCCAGTTACGCAGCAGTGTAAATCCATTAGCCAGACCCTGGGTGCAGGGTGCTGTACGTCCCCACTGGCTGTCTCTCGCTGTCCCAGCCTCACTTTCACATGTGCTTTCACGTCCCCAGGGGAAGGCTCCGAGCAGCTGCTGCTTTCGCTCTGTCTGTTCAGGAAACAGAAGCTGCACTGGGGTGTCACACGGTGGAAGGGTGGGGAGCTCCTGAACCTGGCTTCGCTGTACCACCCGGCCCTGCACCCTCCCTTGATCCAGCCCAACCCTTCTAGATTGGCATGTGGGAGTCCTGACTGCCAGCCCCCCTGCTCTAACCCACTAGACCCCACTCCCCTCCCAGCCCGGGGACAGAACCCAGGAGTCCTGACCCTCAGCCTGGGTTTGATTCTCTGCTGGTCTGGGCCTTGTATTGGCATTTGCATGCATTAAATGCAAGGCAGGGTGGAAACCAGAACCCAGCAAGATGATTCTGATCTCACTCAGCCCAGTGTAAATCCGGAATGATTCCCCTTGGGTCACCGGGGCTCCTTCCCCTCTCGCTCAGGAGTGACTCCACTGGCATCAATGCCGAGACAACAGGACCAAGCCGCACGGGGCCATCTCCTCCCAGAGGCTGGGACCTACGCGGGAGGAGGGGGAGGTTGATTTCACTCTATTCTGTAGGTTCCTCATCACCTTTGCCCTCCCCCACCCTGTCCCCCCTCCCCACGGCCATCTGTGTCACAGATCTCCCGCGTGGGATCCCTCCGCTCCTTCGCCACCTCCGCTCGCCACCAGATGAAAAACAAAGTCCCCGAACATCAGAAGCTCTTTCAGGTGAGACAGACCCCAGCTTGAGAGAGGCGAAGGGAGAGGGAGGGGCCAGGGGATGGAGTAGCGTGGGAGGTTGGCAGTCAGGACTCCTGGGTTCTAGCCCCAGCTCTGGGTGGGGAGTGGGGTCTAGTGGTTAGAGCTGGGGTGGGTCAGGGCTTTATTGCCAGCTCTGCCATGGATGCAGGGTGTAATCTTGAGGGTAGGCGTTCAAGTCCCTGCAGCAATTGGTGCCTCAGTTTCCCCACCCATTAAATGGGGATGGTAGCCACGTGAGGGTGTTGGCAGGGTTAGTGCGTGGGGATCCCGGCATGAGTGAGGGGGATGGGGAGGAAGAAATGGAACATTGACCCCCCACTGGCAATGGGGCAGCTGCCTCCAGGGCACCCCCTCAGAGCCAGAGGTCACCCTACAGCATGCCTGCCTCAGTTTCCCCACTTCTCAGGGCTCCCTCAATCACCCTATGAGAACAAACCCGTCTCTGGGTCAGCAGGGGCTGGATTTGTTACCCCCAAATCCAATGCTTAAACCTCCAGCCAGTCCATGCTGCTCAGGGCTCACCCGGGCCTGTCCCATCTAGAGCCAGGCAAGGGCCGCCTCCCGGGCCACCCCCTCTGGGGCGTCCTGCTGCTCTTTATAGGGACATCAGCCCCCCTGCACCTAGCTGGCTCTGCTAATGAACCCCACCCCAGCCCAGGAGTGGGGTGGGGAGGGGGCTGGCTGGCTGGCTCCTTGCCTCTGGCCCTTAAAGTGGCAGTGCACCCCTTTACGCCCCCTTCAACCGGCCGCTACCCCCATGCTGCCATCTGTGCAGGCAGCCACGGCCCTTTCCTTTTCTTTGAATCTGTCCCATTCTCTGCATAAAGGGTGCCCCATGGCTCGGAAGTGCAGGGACCCTTGCAATGACTTGGGGGGGGGGCTGGTTTCCTGATCCCCCTTCCCCCCCTTGTTTTCCTTCTCTGCCTAGGCGGATAATGGCCTGCCCGTGCATCTGAAAGGGGGCATCGTGGATGCCTTGCTGTATCGACTCACTATGAGCATCACTATCTTTGGTAGGTGCTGCTTCCTGCTCAGGGCGCCTGGGTTCTATCCCAGGCTCAGGGAGAGGAGTGGGGTCTAGTGGTTAGAGCGGGGTCAGGGCTTCTGGGTTCTGTGCACAGCTCTTTCAGAGGAGTGGGGTCTAGTGGTTAGAGCAGGGGTGGGGGGTGCTGGGAGTTAGAACTCCTGGGTTCTATCCCTGGCTCAGAGAGGGGAGTGGGGTGTGGCGGTTAGAGCAGGGGGGCTGGGAGGCAGGACTCCTGGGTTCTATCCCTGGCTCAGGGAGGGGAGTGGGGTGCAGTGGTTAGAGGGGGGGCTGGGCACCAGGACTTCTGGGTTCTGACCCTGGCTCAGGGAGGGGACTGGGGTCTAGTGGTTAGAGCAGGGGGGCTGGGAGGCAGGACTCCTGGGTTCTATTCACAGCTTTCAGAGGAGTAGGGTCTAGTGGTTAGAGCGGGGGAGAAGGTTGTGCTGGGAGCTAGAAATCCTGGGTTCTCTCTCTAATTCAGGGACTAGTGGTTAGAGCAGGGTGCTAGGAATCTGCACTTCTGGGTTCAGTTATTAGTTGTTTAATGGAGCTGCAGCAAAGTCCCCCTGGGTCATAAGCACAATTTGAATCAAACGTAAGTCTGGTAGCTCTTAAAATAAAAGCCCAGGCCAGACAGAGAAATGAAACTGAACAAAGCCTATTCGCTTCCTTGTTGTAATGATCCTTTTCTAGACCCATTTCCCTTTTGATTTGCGATCAGCCCCTTTGGGGACTCGCAGAGGTATTGAGGGGGAAAGATTTAGCTGTGAATGAGGCGGGGTGTTGTAGCATTTCCTAGGGGTTAGAGCAGGGGAGCCCTGGGAATCAGGATCCCTCGGTTCTGTTCCCAGCTCTGGGAGGGGAAGAAAATCCAGTGCTTTAGCACAGGAAGAAGTGGGAGGCAGGACTCCTGGGTTCTATCCCCAGCTATGGGAGGAGAATGGGGTTCAGTGGTTAGAGCAGGGGGGGCTGGGAGCCAGGACTCCTGGGTTCTGTGTGCATCAGGGGCAAGGGTATGCTTTAGGGCTTGGGCCTCTCTTTCTATTCTGAACATCTTACCAGTCATTCTCTTGCCGTTCCAGGCTCCTGTTACGCCGTCTTCTCGCTGGTCAGAGCTGCTTTCCCCCAGAAGAACAAATGAGATGGCAGACTGGAATAGCTGGTTCCCCTCTCCCCCCCGCCCCACTGGGGCCCGTTCGGGGCTGGAAGCAGAGAGCGGAGAGTCATGTACTTTAAGAAAACCCCAACCCTCTGAAATCAATAAAAAGCACCTTTAAAAACTGCGTCAGGGTAAGACCCCCCCTTTGGGGGGCAGGGGGTGAGTGGGGTGGGGCTAACGTGAGCACAGTGAGGGGATCTAGCACCAGCTTTGTTTCTTTCCAAATACTGGAATGACTCTCAGCAGCTGCTGGGCTTGATCCAAGACTCAGAGATTCTGATTCCCAGCTCCGCCGACCCCGCACTGCCTGTGCTTCAGGAATATACTGTGGCAGAGGGTTCCACAGGTTAACAGGGATGGCCAGCGGGAGAAACTGATGCCGCGATTGATGCCCTCATTCTCTGATTCAGCTATCCTGTTGCCTTCATTTAGTTACTGAAACCTTTGCTTTTGGGGGAGAAAGCGTGGGCTAGTGGGTTTGATTCCTGGCCCTGCCACTGGCCTGCTCTGTGACCTTGGGTGAGTCATAGCACCGCTCTGTGCCTCAGTTTCCCCATCTGTAAAATAAGGATAATGCTACTGACCTCCTTTGTAAGCCCTGTATTGGAGCTACGGATTGTTGTTACTTAAGGGCCGGATGGCAATGGAATAAATATGCTGCCCAGGGGCCAATTGGGTGGGTCTCACAGATATGAGTGGTCTTGTCATTAGAGCAGTGGGAGGTTGGGAGCTGCCAGGACTCCTGGGTTCTATCAGTTGCCTGGTCCCCAGTGGCAGTTGTCTGAGCAGCCTCAGGGCAAACTGGAGGAGATTGACCCAAAGGAGGACAGGTTTAGAAAACCTGACCCAGGAGGGAAGGCTGAAAGAAGTGGGCAGGTTTAGTCTAGAGAAGAGATGGTTGAGGGGAGAACCGAGAACAGGCGTCAGTGACGTTAAGAGCTACATAAAGCGGACGGTGATCCACTGCTCTCCATTGTGGCTAGGACAAGAAGGAACTGTCCTAATCCGCAGCAAGGGAGATTTAAGGTAGACAGTAGGAACTCTAAGGGGAGTCAGGGCTACCTGGTCCTGTCTCAGCGCGGGGGGAGATGGATTAGCTGACCCAAGAAGGTCCCTTATAGCCCAGTATTCCTAGAATGCTATGGGACAGCACACCCCCCTCCTCTGGAGCATTTACCGGCCGGGGAATTGGACATGGGGTTTGAGTTTATCGTAAAGAAAAAGTTGCTTTCCTTTTTTTTTTTTTTTGTATATTGCTTTGGAAAAAAAAATCACCTTGCTTACATCATGGATAAAAATAAAGAGGGCCCCTCACACAGACAGGGGCTTTGGTGTCACAGTGACAGATACGTTTGAAAACCAAACACACACACACACACAGGGTTAGAAACCAGGGAGTCATCGGCATGTGCCCCCACCTCCCCAATCCAGCCGTCCCATCAGTCCTATTTCCCTTCATTTCGTTCGTGAAATGTTTGCTTCGGGAATATCCTGTGGTGGGGAGTTCCACAGGTTACCAGGAAAGGATGGAAGGGGAGCTGAACCAGGGAAATCTCTGATGTCCCCATTCTCTGATTCATCTCTCCCATTACTCCTATTTCTCTTTAATTGGTTAATGAAATGTTTGCTTCTGGAATATCCTGTGGTGGGGGAGTTCCACAAGTTACCAGGAAAGGCTGGAGGGGGAATGGAACCAGGGAAATCTCCTATAGTTCCCATTCTCTGATTCATCTCTCCCATAACTCCTGTTTCTCTTCAGTTAGTTAATGAAATGTCTGCAAGTATCCAGTGGTGGGGGGTTCCACAGGTTAACAGGGAAGGATGGAGTGGAGAATTGAACCAGGCAATTCTCTAGCCTGACCCCTCTCTGATTCAGCTGTCCCATCAATCCTGTTTGGCTTCATTTAGCTACTGAAGCATTTGTGTCAGTTGATATATGGGCTTTCTTCAGAACAGCGTGGCCTAGTGGATAGAGCACTGGAGTGGGACTCAGGAGACCTGGGATCTATTCCCAGCTCTGCCACTGGCCTGCTGGGTGAGCTTGGGCAAGTCACTTCCCTTCTCTGTGCCTCAGTTTCCCCATCTGTAAAATGGGGATAGTGATACTGACACCACCACGCCCTTTTGTAAAGTGCTTTGAGATCTAGGGATTATTCATATCTTGTGGCGTGGAGTTCCACAGGTTAACATGTTTCATAAAATCATAGGCTGCTCAGAACCCAACGTTGGCTGGGATAGCACAAAAGAAAATCCCTGTCTCCCTCTCACCCCCTCCCCTCCCCTCCCCCCATTTCTCTCCAGACGGCAGAGTCCTGCCCAATCCCACAGCTGACTGGCCCTCCCCCAGCACTCATTACCTGCCCCTGGGAAAACCCATCTCAGCCAAGGGGAGGAGCCTCCAGGGTAGGGGCATGGGTGGCAGGAGCGGGTGCGGGGCATGAGGACCCAATCACAAGAGGAGGGGTGGGGGAGATTAGGGTCCCATGGGAGGCAGGGCTGTGGCCGTTTGAAAATAGAGCCACCGTGTCTATAGCATACTCCCCCCCCAGCTGCCACTGAGCCTACCACCTTCAGCACCCAGGGACAGCCCTCTCCCACTGGAGCTACAGGAGGAGCTCCCCTAGCTGGCTGCAATAGTAAGGCTGTTATCCGCTAAGTGCAATGGCAATGCACACACCCTACGCCCGCCCCCGAACATCCGCGGCTCCACCTAACGCACGGCGCCAGAGACTCCAGGGCAGGTTGGACAGCAGGGACGGATGGACGGACGGACAGCTGT